ATTGACTGAAAACTTCAAGAGCATGTAACAAAAATCACGTCAGTGGCAACCCTTAAAGAAACATTGCTAAATATGGATCAGACGACTGTTGATAACTTGATCAAATCCATGAAAAATCCAATACAAGCACTGAAACTAGCAAATGGAGGACCTACTCTATACTAGTTCCAAATATTGGTTATTTATGTTGAGTTGGGATTACGTAATTAAATTTTGAAATTGGTTGTAGTTTATTTCTCCTGGCTAAAAATTTTTCTTAGGCCACTGTATATTATGATATATATTGTAATTTATAATATATATATATATATAATGTACGGACATGCATCTATGTTTGCATTAACACGATGACATCACGAGAATGATTCCCCCCACTCCCATAATAACACTAATACACGCAATCTACATAAACCCAAATTTTAAAAAAATTAATCAGTTTGTCTGACGATCTCATAAAGCGTGAAACCCAGGGTCACAAACTCACATCAATCCAACCAAATATATATATATAATTTATAATATGTTCTATTCTCTATATACAGTGTGTGAAAGCACATGCCATACCCTTGTCAGCTGCCAACCAGGGGAGGTAACACAGTTTTGATGGCTAAAGTGGTACTGCCACTGCTGGTGCCACGAGAGAGCGTATTGTTTTGTATATATGTCAGTCTTTAACTATTTCTTTTTACAATTGCAACTAAAATTTTCAATGTTGTGTTTAAATACACGTGTAGTGACTGTTATTAATGACATAGAATGGAAGGTAAAATGGAATGTATTTCACATTGGAAGTAGCATTGCGTTTTGAGCATGGTTTTATTTAACTTTATTTATTTTGGATCTTAACCAGATCCAACTCTATGCCTGTTGAGCGGTGGTCTGGAGATGATGTGGAGCATGCTTTAGGTTCCATCTAGCAAAGCCCACCTTCAAAAGGAAAAAAAACGATTGACCATCCAAGGAATCCATTGCACCTGAACTCAATAGGTATTACATGACATGTACATCACTTTTTCATGTAGTTGGATTGCAGTGATTTGTAGCGATTTTTTTTTTTTTTTTTTTTTTCGCTCGTGCACCTCCTCCCTGTTCTCCTCCCATGGATCTGTTAATTCTACTAGGAGGACACACTTTTTTAAATCACACCACACTACAATGTCAGGGTGTGCGTCTATCTGAAGATGTTTACCAGAAATTACAGAGGTGTTCTAAGATCAATTAACACCTTCCAATCATGGCCTCCACTCACTAGTGTCATGTTGGGAGTTATTTAGGTTTTTAGCACAGGGTGTTCAACTTCCTTGGGAAAATGAATTTTAGATCCTTTGGCTGTTACAGGCTGTTTGTTGGTTGCTTCACAATTTATTTTTGAGAAAAAGAGCACCATGACACAATTCACTCTGCCAGAAATTTGGAAACGGTATGGTGTACTGCTTGGCATTTGCACCGGAATCTCCAGTATGAACATTGTAGTTTGGGTGTCAACTTGAGGACAGTGCAAAGGATTAAAAAAGAATTGGATGAGTCTAAAGTTGATTACAAATGTATAGCATCTCCAAAAACTCACTCTGATCATTCTGATAAGAACTCTCAAATTTGTTTGTGAAGGCCTCAGACTCAACATGTGGGCTTACATCAAGTGCCTTGAGAAGGTAGTGCTGCCCTGGGTCAAGAGGGTGGCTGCTGGAAGACCCTATGTCTGACAACAGGACTCTGCACCATGCCACACAAGCAGGAGAATCCACATATGGCTGTCAGACAATTTCTGCGACATCACTGCTGATATTTGGTCACCTAACTCACCAGACTGCAAGCCCCTTGATTATTATGTGTGGGGCACAAAACTCCTTGTAACACACCAAAGATAAATTGAAGGCAAGGATTATGGCAGCATTCACCAAGTTAAACACAGAGACTATCCAGAAGAGTTGCAAGAGATTCCAAGTCGTCTGGAGGCCGTGGTTGAAACCAATGGCAATTTTATTGAATAAATTTATTTTTTAGTATTTCAAGACATTTTTGTGTAAGTTTTTGAAATATAACTGTTAAAATTAGATGGCTGTGTTATTTTTATTTTTGTGTAATTTAGATGACAATTTATCCATCGCATCCTGTACATTATACTATATATATATATATATATATATATATAATAATAGGATTAATATGAGTAAAAGTTTGTCACTTAACTGACTGATGTTACCTTCAACATCCCAGTTCCAGAGTTTCATAGACATACATGTCCGTCCACTGTTCAGGAGGTAGTAGCAATTTACTACTTATATTTTTTGTATTTTTTCCTTTTCATACATTTGTGTAAGTTTTTCTTTATTTTTTGTGTTCATGTTTGCATTTGTGCACATGCAGCCATGTGCCCATCTTTGCAGATGTGCATTTGTGCATGTGCACCCGCATGTGTAAGGTGTTGTGATCATTTGCCCTTTTCATTTGTTTTTTTGTATTTTTTCCACTAGTGCTGAAATGGTGAAGTTATTTTTTATATTTTTAGGGTATTAATTATGGTTTGTTGGGTTAATAGAATTTGTTTATATATATATATATATATATATACACACATACAGTATATACTGCATACACATATACGTAATTGGGAAATAGTGTATATGTATTAAAGTAAGAATATGCTTATATCATGTTATCGTTTATGTAATGTTTCATTTTTATTTAATAGTTATTAGTTTATTTGTTTTTGCTTTGGTGTTATATATTGAGGTATTAATTATGGGTGGCTAGGTTTGTTTGTGTTTTGGTTTTTGCGTGTGTATATATTTATATGTACATGCACACACGCATATAGGTGTGTATTTTTAATATTTGTTTATTATTAAATTAAGTTTATATTATATTTGTTTCATTTATTTATTTACTTAAATGTTTATATTATTTATTTATTCATTGAAAGTTTATATTATGTTTATTTGTTTATTTTTGATTAGTGCTTAGATGGGAAAGTAATTATCTATTTATATGCCTACATTTAGCCATTATTTCAATTTTCTTGTTCAAGAGTTTTTTAAACAAATTATTGCTAATTTTTCTTATAAGCATAATATACAATTTTTACTGTTAATACTGTATAGTGCTGCTTGTTTTATAATTTCCCATTTGATTTTTGTGGTGGTATTGTTTTCTTTTTGGCTCCATATGTATTTTGATAGGGTTGTATTGTTTGTGTATTTTTTGTTTTGAATGTTTAAAAGGTTTTTCTGTGCACCTATATAAATTTTTTCATCTGTATTAATGTTATTAGTTACAATAGCTTTGTATATTATGTTACTGGTTAAATATTTATTGTTAAGTGGGCAATTTTCTTTGTTTCTGCAGTTATATTTAATGGTGTTATTTTGCTGCATGTTATTGTTATTGGTTTTATAATATATATTATAATTTATATTTTTTATATATATATATATATACATATATATATATATATATATATATATATATATATTTATTTTTTAATCAATTTCATGAAAGTCGATAAAGCTACTATGACACTAGGGGTTATTTGGTGAAGAAGAATTACGAACAGAAACATTACTAATGATTGTAAAGAGAAAAGAATAATCAAGAGCACAGTAGCCAGCGATTGACATTGCCTTTAAATTTTTGGATATTAAAGTTGGCTGTAAAGCATTCAGTTGGAAGGGAGTTTCACAAGTGGGAATTGTGAGAAAAGAAACTATTAGCTGTAAATTGATGAGATCTCAATGCCAGTCTAGTACTGTGCTTAAATTCAAAAATTTAGGTACCATAGCAAAGCCCTCATCCAAACAATTACCATGGAAATATTTTATAGAAAAGACATAGGGAGGCAACCTTAGTGATGGGAAAGTAACTGAAACTGAGCTGCCAGATCAGAACTGATAATATTGCTGATTCTTCTTTGGAGTTTATCAAGGAGCTCAAGATAAATAGCAGGGTCACCAGGCCATATGTGGCAGCAATATTCTAAGCATGGGCAAATGGTAGACTTGTAGATATGTATGATAGATTCTAGAGAGAAAAATTGTTTTACTCGACATGGTGAACCAACCAATATATTATAATATATATAAAACATTTGATTATTAGTTTTCCTCTTTTAGTTAATTTTACAACATTGTAGCATTAACTGGATTCAGACTCTTAACTCTTTAAAGCATTGTGGGTGAAATTTCATGCCACTTTTGAATGTTTTTATCATGTCTTTATATCTATAAACAGAGAGGTTTGTTATCAGTCTCTAAACTCATGTTGCATAATGGGATGATACATATCCCAATTTATAATTAATTATCTAATTTGAATTTTGTCAAATCAAAATTTGCCCTTTTTTAGAATGTTCATGAGAATTTACAACAAAAATAATAAACACTAGTTATTAGATTGTTTATTTACACTATTTATTATATAAGCTTATTGGAATGTTTGGCAAAACATAAGTTGATTACCAATCAATTCTAACTTTATAAAATGGTAAATAATAAGGATTTCCTTATAGTTGGTTCCCATGTTTTAATAATTTTGTAAATGTTTATAAATTTATGAATAAAAATTGTTTTCATATCTTTTTCTTTATAAATTGTTAAATGATAAATATTGCATTGCATTAGTTTTAACACAAATGGTTTTTAGAATTTTGTAAATATGAAGTTATTCTTGTAAATAATAAATAGTGTTTATTATTTTTGTCATCAATTCTCTAAAACAAAGAAAATGATGTATGAATTCTGTTTCATATGTTTAGGTTTTATTACAATTCTAATCATTGCTTTTTAAAACAATAAACATTGTTGAAGAGTGAAGGTAGTTAAAATAAAAATGGTGTCATGGGAAAAACCATACTTTTGACACCCCATTTTTTTTTTTTTTTCAGACACAAAAGTCCATGTTTGCCAATATTTGCTTATATTTTTATTTTCAATTGATAGAAAGTAGTTTAAAAACAATGTCTTTTTTTTCTCCTATGAGTTTTACCTATTTCTTTTCCTCTACAGAATAACGATGTTTTCAATACTTATTGATCACTTGTAAGGTGAGTATTAAATCTTTAAATATTTTCCCCTTTTTATACAGAGTTTATATAAATTTATGATTTTTAAATATTTTCATAAGAGTTACAAAAGGAATTATGATGAGAAGTCTAGCATCAGAATATATGAGGGAGTGCTGAAAAGTTCTTGGCTCACTCTAGAAGCCCACCAAAAAAAATAATCTGATGTGTGGTCAGATTTTAGGAAATGGGTTAGACCCAAGCCCATAGCCAGAGTATTTTGATTATGGGTGGGGCAGGTTTTAAGTCAGGGAGACTGTGAGTAAGAATTTACACACTAAAAGTAGTTAACATCATTTTTTTTTTTTTAATGGTCAGGGAGGAGTGCAACTTGTGGGAGTGCTTTTCAAAGGGCCTGTTTGGACTGAGGAGTTTTCTGCATCCCTTCATAGAAAAATATTTACATTTAAAGTCATTCAAAGAAATAGCATATTGACAAATCCCATATCCCTTCAGGATATAGGTAATCATGGCTCTCTACATATTTCTTTGCTTTATTACTTGTGGCTTTCCTTGGCTTCTTGGGAAAGAAAAGGGTATGGTTTTTTGTTGTCTTCTCTACTGTTTTGATTTCAGAGGTGTCCTTCTCCCTTCAAGATGTAAGTGGTTATGGCTCTCCACACATTCCTTTTCTTTATTATCTGTTAATAGCCATTCCCTCTATGGAAAATACTGTTTTCCTGTTGCCTTCTCTACAGTTTAGAATTCCAAGGCTAAAGAATTTGAACTGTCGATTCCATATTGCTCTCCAATATTTGTTATAGTACTTGCATATTCTAATGTTTTTGGGCCACTATCCATTACACCACTGTACAAATTTTAAATTTGCTCAGGTTTTGAGTAGCTATTTTTTTAATTAGTATCAACCCATGCAATGCAGTAAAGCCACTAAGATACGAGGGGTTACAGTGTCGGGGAGAATTAGAAACAGAAACATTAATAAAGAGCAAGAAGTTGAAAGAGTTATCAAGAGGACAGTAGATAGTGACTGACATTGCATTTAGATTTTTACAGATTAAAATTGGCTGGAATGTGTGGAGCCGGAAGGGAGTTCCATTAATGAGAAGTGTATGAAAAGAAACTGTTAGCATAGAATATATGGTTAAATCTAGCCAGCTCAACTGTAAATTGATGAGATCTCAATGCTAGTCTATTACTGCACATAAATTCAAAAAGTCTAAGTACCATAGTGAAAAGCTCATCCAAACAATTACCATGCAAGTATTTATAGAAAAGGCACAGAGAGGCAACTTTATGGCTGTCATTCTTTTTAGAGATCCTCTCTTGTTTATCAAAATACAAAAAAGTATCAGCATTAAACATCCATTTTCAAATGTCTATTTTATACAATTAAACAAAAACCAGACAGTCTGGCTGGCATGCGTGCAAGTAAAAAACAGACTGGCAACGTAAGAAAAGAATAACTGACTAATACTGTCTGTTTTAGATTCAGTTTTCCTTTTTTAATTTTGCATTTGTTATATATAATTATTATTAAATTAGAAGTAATAACATTCAGTACTTATCAAAGGTCAGTTCAGTTACACATGCATCCATATATATTACTGAATCCTACTCTTTTATTGTACTTTCTACTCACTAAAGTTTTCTCATTCTCTTTCACACCCAGTAACCTCTTGCATTTTAGTGGCATTATTGCCTTGCTTGGAGTGAAATGATAAAATATTATTATTATTATATATGTCTATATCTCAAGACAATGAGAAACACTTTATATATACATATATACCCACACACACATACTCTTTTAGGTGACTAATACAAGAGCAGTCTTAATAATTGGGGGGGGGGATGCAGTAAATGGTGGGAGAGCTTAATAAGAGGGTGGATGGGTTTGGAAAATTTCCTCAGAAGTAAACTTCCCCTTTTCTCTTGTTCTATTAGACAATTGTGTTTTATGTGTAGGTATATATGTATACATGAAGTGTACCTCATTGTATTGAAATATAAGCATATATAATAATAAAGTTATCAGACCTTCTGGCCTGGATTGATATTTGGAAAAACTTTGAAATTAGTCAAGATAAGCCTTTTGTTAATTTAATAACTCTATATATATATATATATAATATATATATTTATATTAAAATGAATTTATATTTATTTATATATATATATTTTTTTTTTTTTCAGAATATCCATCATGAAGTGAAATGGACAATGCAAAATCCATAACAATTATCAAAGATATTGATTTTCTGCTGGAATAATGGCACGTGTTTGGTACATTTGAATAGAATCATGAATAGTTTCTAATTTCATCAGAATTATGTACCGAATATATTGGGAAGAGACAGATAAAATCATTGCAAATTAAAATTCATCTCCATTTGAAATCCTTCATGCAAATTTCAATCTCATAATATTAATTTTTACCTTTTTTAACTTTAACTAAAAAATTTTTTTAATTCTTGGCTTTTATTCTGTATTTCCATTTGAGGAAGTCATGGACTTTTACAAAAAAGATTTGTTAAGGTGAAGACATCAGGAAATAACTTTCCTCCTTAAGAACAAAATGAAGATGGAATCCACCACCTGAGATCCAGTTTATGAATTTGCTTATATATCTTCAAACAGTTTTGTTATTTTTGTATGATGATTTTTTTATTCATTCTTTTCCTTCCCCATAAATTATTCACTGATCTCTACTTTCTGTTCAAATACTCAAATAGAACAATCAAATTTTGGGTTGTCTTTTCAGTTTCACTTGAATAGGATTTTAACAAAAATCATTTTTATAAATTTTAATTTTTGCTTATTATTTTAATTCTTTGTATCCCAGTGTCTCTGAAAAAGTGTTTGACTGCCTACAATAAGGTGATGATTAACAAGCTTGTTTCTCAAAGCAATTTACGAGTCATTCATTTTATGCCCTACTGGAGTGATCTTGAATCCAGTTTGGTGCAAAAGTTTCCGACATTTTTCCTTTTTTTGTTACTATTAAAAATTAGTCTTATATAATCTCTAGTATAAAAAGAAAAAAAATGGGATGCTGGGAACTTTTGCACATATCTACTACTGATACTGCTGTAATTTACAAGAGAAAACAAAATCAACTCAGCATTTTAATTTTCCATATTTTAACTTGTGTGGGGTCATACATGTCATCAAATACAGTTTGTATGTATGAAAACAGGGTGAACCAAAAGTAGGGGTACAGTAGATGATAACATTTATTTTGAGATTACATATTAATACAATTTAATTTTGATAAACAATTATTAAATATACAATTAAATTTTATTGTATACAATAATACAATGAAAAAGCCCTGAAAATTTTATCAATACAGTTTCTCAAACTGGTGTCCATCACAATTTACACAGCTTTGAAGTCTACCTTCCACACTTTGACAAACATTTTTGCACAAGAATCTTTGGGTATTAATTTCTTGAAATGTATCTCTGATGTAATTTTTCAAATCACCAACATTTTTGACTATAAACTTTGTCCTTGAGTACTTCCCAAAAGAAAAAATCAATTGGAGTAAAGTCGGGCGAACCTGCAAACCAATCAATTGGACTCCTTCGGCCAATCCATTTCTCAGGAAATGTTTCAACTCATTTTGTTCTTACGGTTTCAGCATTTTGAGACTTCCAATATTCTTTTAACAGCCATTTTTTGCATCAGTATTTAAATTATTTGCAATTATGGATTCTCTGAAATATATGGAAAGAAAAAAAAATAATTTAATTTAGTTATAAAATTTAATATAACTCAAACACCATAGTTATAATATAATCCTAACACAAACCCTATTCTACCTACAGTCCACCTACTTTTGGTTCATCCTATATATATATATATATATAATATATTCTGTTTATTTTTGTTATTTTTATAGATACAATTTATTTAAGTAAATGCTCTCTTTTTTAATAAAACAGTATTAATTATATTTATCAGCCCAAATGTTCAAGAAATTTTGTAGAAAATATGTGTTCTCCAACAGGAAACAAACTTGTATTCCTATATGGAAACTGTCATTTGACCTGATGTGCTGTACCATTCAGTTACAGAGAAGTGTCTGGTTAGCAAAGTCTCTGTATGTAGATGGGGAACTGCATGTGAACACCTGGTAGTGTAAGCAACCTCCTACAATCTGAAATATGCTTCTGCTTTAAATAACTCACAAAGGATTCATAAGCCACAACACAAATCATTCAATCAATCAATTCTGGGATTTTAATTCAATTTTCATTAGAACTTTTCTTTATTCTGATTTTGCATTATTTTAATGGTTGAAGGGTATTTGATCTAGAACATTGTGATAAAAAAGCATATATTTAACCAAGAAAGTTGTGATAAAAAGCAACAATAAGATGAAGAAAAGACTAACCAAAAATGAATCACGAAAATCCTTCATCTCAGAATTGAAATAATTTAACAAAAGCTACTGTATTTTTACGTCATGTTACTTTTAACAGTTGGAAAGAAAGTTGTGAAAAAGAGAAACCAAAAATTTTCCCCAATTCCTTCTTGGTTAATATTAAATAAGTTTCTCAGGCAGAAAGCATAACTGATTAGAAAGTCCTAGAATCTGGCAGATACTACACTAGAAAATGATAGTAATGGCAATACTGGAATCAACTGTTTCCATACAGGAAGCATTAGGCATTCATTGACCAATCAGTTAGCCTTATTATTAGTTGAAATTTATAAAATGTTTTCCTTAAAAACAATTTTACAGGAAAATAGACTTCACACGTCCACTGTTATTGCTCATTCTAGTATTGGGAGTTTATTTCCTACTCTTTTGTGTTTGGTTGTATGGAAAGTTAACATCTTAATTCTATCATCATTTTCTCTTCTACTTACTTACACTAACCTTTTCTGTTGTTGCTGCTGTTGGAACTCTTCAGATGATGTGGTTTTTGTTATTTAGTAATGCTCTTTGTGATTCTGTAGGGCCAGATGAAAGATTGTTA